GGGCATGAAGCAGGTATGGAGGAGATCCAAGGCCCAGACATCCAGAGGTACCACATAGTGGTACTCTTTATAGAGCTCTGTAGATATGACAGTCAGACCTGAAGGAGAATGAAATGTTACTTATGACAAATGCTGCAATATGGTAATCCTACAGAAACCAAATAGCTTATTTTCATTGCACTGATTCTAAATATGGAGTTACTGTCACATACTCAAAAACATTTTGCAGACTGACCTGAAAAAGCGAGTGCCAGCAGTAGTGTCTTCATCGTCCTGAGAAACAGAAACTTTTTTGTCACTTTCTCCAACCACAATAAATGTACTTGATTTTTCCTAAAAATAAAAACTACTAAAAAGTCTAAGGGATAGTTTAAGTCTGTATTTGAATTATATACAGTATCCAAGGTGTTTGAGCTTTTTTTGCATGTGTATGACATTGAAAATAACTTCAGTATTATACTCATGCTTTGAAACTTTACCAAAGAATTTAAATGCAATTGAACTCCAGCCTCTGAACCACAGAAGTGGAAGAAGAAGATGTTGAGAGAAAAAGGCGACAACAGTAAAATTTTGAGACCATACTTTAGGCTTACCTAGACTTAAGAATGTGTCAGCTTGCTTCTCTTGTTCTTGTGTTGTTTATGTCTTTGCTCTGACTCTGCACACCTGAAACCTTCAGTAGAAATCTTCTTTCTTTTAAACACTTTCTCCCCTTCTTCTCTAAGGTAACTACGCAAAGCCAGTGTCACTTATTTATTATCAGAATAGCATGTAAAGACGTGAAAATTAAAAAAAGAAAAAAGAAAGTAACTTCAAAGTACGATCTAATTAGTTCCCAGAACTTAAAAACATTATGCAAACCCGTTGTCTTAGAAGAGCTAGGCATAGCTTACTAAAGATAAGTCAGAGCAACCTCCTCATTGTGAGTGAATAGTAGTATTTGTATAAACGTTCTATTTTTAATTTTCTTTCATACAAACTGAATGCAAGTAAATCACATTATGTTTGATCATCCTTGAACTTAAGCGATTTCTAGTAAAACAACACTTAATAAACACTGTAAGTGTGATTCAAAAAGAATAATTAGGAACATTTTTTGTAATGTAGTAAAAATCAGCCTAACTTACATTTTCACATGTAAAAAAGGATTTTAGCCAACTCTAATAAAGTGGTCAGAGTATCTGTTCTCCAAGGTAGTATTACACAGTAAAATTCGGAGTGTTAAAATAACACTTAAAGAGTTAAATTTAACACTGGTCCCGAGTCTATTTGGTCCTATTCGGAATTGGTGTTAAATCAACTCTTTGTATAGTGTTACAATTTTAGAGTAAAATTAACTCTAAATAGAGTAAAAATTTAACACTGAGTAACACCGCAGAGTGTTAAATGAACCTAACACTACTAGTAGTGTCATATTATTTACTCTATTATAGTGATAAATTAACTCTATTTGAGTAAAATTCCACTGATTTTTAACACTGAATTGAGTTATTTCAAGTTAACACTGGGGGTTCAAATAACTCTGATGAGAGTTGATGTTACTCTATACTATGTTATTCATACACTTTTTCTTGTGAAAAATTAGCTCTCATAGAGTAAAATTTTAAATTAATTTTACACCAAGTAGTGTTACTAAAACTCTTCCTCTTCCAGCATGAAAACCTGGTTTCTAATAATGCTTTAAAATATAAAACAAGTAAGCAAAAACCACAACTAGATAATACGTTTAACGGCTTTATTTTGATGTCAGGCTCAAAATATTAAAACATCTCATGTAGTGTACATAAAACACTACATACACAAAACAGTCATAAAACACTTTAAAACAATGAATTTAGTTCGGCATAAAATGACAATATGGAACCACATACAGGGAGGAATCAGAAGTGCCATACTTCATTTGAAGATCAAATGGTTTGAAGTAACACAGCTCTTTTATGTTCAACACCTTCAGCACCATATTGGGGTGCATTCTGACCTTAAATGCATGATAATGGTCATCAAAACACAGGGTTTCCATCAGTTTTCCACAGAGCAATACAATGTCATCTTTCACAACAATACTTTTGATCTTATAAAACACTGGAATCTCAGACACTACCTCTGTACAGATGATAAAGTCAGTGCGGTACTCTGTACCATGATGTTTTATCCACTTAGCTGAAAAAACACTGGTAGACAACGCAGCTCCAAATTTTAAAGCAATTTCTGGACCTTCTTTCAGCTCTCCAAGTGTCACCATCTTTCCTGGTCCTAAAGCTAATCTTTCGAGGCTAAAAGACTCCCAATACATGGCCATACAACTTTGGTGTTTCTTGGCCAATGTCATTGTAATGTTTTTAAAGCTTTTTAATTGCTTCTTAAAGAAGTTATGTTTGGCTTCGTAACGCATGCACCACATGTGCAGAATTGGGCCAATATTTCGTATACTGCGAGGGTAATGTATCATGAAGTGATGCTTTGGTAGGAGACTGAGTGTAGGAAATAACTGCTTAAAGAGCTGATGATGATCAATAATTAAATGTTTGAGGTAGATGGTCATACCTTCTGACAGCACTGGTGAAAACACAATATTGACAATTTGTAGAAGCAGAAGTAGAAGATGCCAGTAGCTATCACCCACCTGTACCAAATCGCCAAACATCAAAGGTACATTACGCAATAAACACCAAGATTGAATTGCATTTAGTCCTAAATCATTACTGCCATCAAACAACTTTACCCTTGGTGGGCGATTTCGCTGCTGATTGAAGCCATAGTCAAAGGCATGTATTCTACCAGCAAGTTGTTCAGCACTTAGGAAGTTCTCCTGAATGTACTGCAGCACAAGTTTCACCTCTAACTGAGCAACTCCCTCCAAAATGTCATGCATGATATCTACAGAAAAATTGTTGGCTGTGTTGAAATATTTAAGTGAATTCAAGAGACAAGTGCGTTTCACACCACATACATGAGGTAGCGTAGGATCTCTTTGTACACTTTCACAGTGCTGCTTATGCATATCAAGAGTTCTTAGTGCAACACCAGAATCATCTTCACAGAACACACTTTGAAAACAATCCTTCTCAAGCAGACAAAAACGACAACAATATCGAGCTGCAAATGACTCCACGAACCCAAACAGACTATGCAAGCCAAGATTGTCCCCAGTGACCTGGATTACAGTGCCATGAACCAAGTGTTTAAACATGGGAAGTTTCAGTCCCTCTGTCTCAAGAACTTTCAGATCATTGACAAGTGGCTCAAGGATTGAATTAAAGCCATAACGCTTTGAGTCTTGTGCATGAAAAAGAGCACACAAATGAATATTGACCAACAACGAATTAAAGATTGGAGGAAAATTCCTTAGTGTAAAGTATATTGCACCTAATTTATGTACACCCTTTTTAGAGCCCAGGGGATTTGCAGTTTCAAAGTCATCATAAAACAGTTGAATTTGTAAGGCATCTTTTTCTGCAGAAAATAGGGGACATCTTTTAACATAGGCAGCATCGATTAAGTCTGCATACACACCTTCTCTGAACATATTCCTCGACTTGAACATGTCGACAACATGGTGGTTTTGAAAGATAGTTTTCAGTGTTTCCAAAATAGGAACATATGCAAACCTATCGGTTACAATGACTTGATCAAAAGTCCCTGTGATCTTGTTTCTTCTACTGTCAAATCTTGTGCCAAGCACCATTTCAACAGGTTCAACAGTTGCCCATTTTTGTTTAAAGTGCCTATTTCGTTTAGCTTCTGAATTTAACAGTGTAAATGGATTTTCAAAGTTTTTGAATGACTGCTCTAATTTCTTTTTACTTGTAGTGTCCTGTGAAGGTAAGCTCTGTAAAGCTGCATCTTTAGCCTGAGTATGAATCTCAAAAAACACTTCCTCCATTGAGGAGACAAAACTATTCACAGTAGATTGGCTTAATCCAGCTGCCCTGAGCTGTGCAACAGTAGAGGCACACATATCCAAAGTGCTCTTATTTGAACTTTTCAACATTTCAGATGTTGTGGGTGTTTCTTCTACATTAGTTGACACCACCTCCCCTGTAGTGCTAACTTCTTTAACTGCCACATCAGGCTGTAAATTAACATCAGTGTCAGCCTGTTGGTCGAAATAGTTAAGGTGTTTGGTATTTAAATGTTTTCTAAAACCTGAAAAAGTGCCAAACACACAGCCACAGTCACGCTGGGCACATTTAAGGCGAAGATTTCTTCCAGGTAAGTAACCATGGACTAACCGTAAATGCCTAACAAGCATGTTTGAACCAGTAAACTCAGCCTGACAGACAAAACACTTCATGATGGAGAATTAACCTTCAAGCCCTAACGAAGCAACCTTGTCCTTATTTCAGCAACTCTGGGACTTTCTTTGATTTTGCCAACATCTATATTGTACACTGTGGTTTGGATGAACGTGTACATGTTGTGAAGCATGGTGTTGTAAGATGTGCTAAACACAAAATGTGCTTTAAACAGTTCATCAAAAGCACCAAGTGAAGAGGTAGACTTGCATGGTATGGCATTCTTGTCAAGAATAATGAAGAACTGGTGGATGTCATGCTTTTTCACCCCAACAGGCAGGAGGTAGGGTTGAGTGCTGGTAGTGATGGCATCAAGGTGCTCTTGGATATTTGTTCCAGTCTGAAAAGACAAATACAGACAGACAATAAGAATCAAGTGTTTCTTAAACTGGTAATTCATACCATAAAAATAGAAAAGAAACAAACCTTCTTGAAGACCACAAGATGCCTTTCTGCTTGAGAAGCTGACACCTTTCCTGGTCTCTTCCGACCCTGACCAGATGGTGGAATCAGATGTAATAGCAATAGAATCGCTGCGAGGTCACTGTCCCAGCCTGAAAAAAATATTTGTTTTTAATAAAGTTGAATCATCCTCATCAATAACAAATTTCAATGCATCTGCATTGACAAAATGTTTGAGTAGACCCAAAATACAAAAGGACAGCTGTTCTGTGACAAACATTATATATCCTGTGAATGTTCTAATTAAAGAAATAACAGCTCACCAATGTCAGCATTAACTTCAGTGGCATCCTCAGGAGAGTCAGCTGCCAGCAAGAGTTCTTCCAGGTCACTGGTAGAAGGAAGCTTCCTGCCTTGTTGGATAATCTTTCTTTTGAATGTTGTTGGCCACCTCTCCAGCAACCTGCCTGATACATCTTCACCAAACATCAGTACAAAATCCTGTTCGATCTGTAACAGGGATAGAGAACAGAGAATTATATCTGCTATCTGCAAAAAATAAAATGTGTTTACATTGTCAATGTAATGAAAAATATTCACCAAGCCTTTGATATCTTTGAAACGTGGAAACACAGACAGTATGTTGCTTGACAGAAGGGGGTCAAGGACCATGTTGTGTCGATAAACAAATGTCAACTTCATCTTCTTCTTGACTGTGTCTTCATCAGCTGAATGTTTCATCAGAGCGATTGCTTCCTTGCACTCATCCTCACTCAGCACGTTCTCTGTAACAAACTGCAACTCTCGTCTGACAGTTGGTCCACCACACTGATCTTCACCCGATGATCCATCTCCTGGTGCTAGACAATATGAAATACAACTTTATCAAAACTAATAATAACATTTGATAACCATTATTAATACAGAACCACAATTTGGAACTGTATTATATGATTCCACTGAATTATAAGTGTTACCTCCAGATGTTAATCGCCTCTCTTTAGCAGTGCATCTCTGTATGGTTTTAATCCTCCAGGCCAAGTACCCAGTGCCACTCTCGCCATCATAATAATGTTCCTTCTCGCCATCATAATAATGTTCCTTGGAGAGTGAGACATACAGACATTTTGTTTATTAATTTATCAGTAAGTTATGTGACCATGAACAGTTGATGAGGACATAAATTTTGGCAGGATTTAAAATTTTGATTTTAGTTGTATCAGTTATTGCTGTTAGCTACTTACATAGCCATTTTTTGAGTACGGGTCACTGAGGTAAGGGAAAAAGGTTACAATTCCTCTGGCATACATTTCTTTTACCTGCCGTGGTGGTGATGTACTGCAAGATCAAAAGGAAAAGAACTAGTCAGCTTCCCTGGAATTAATAGAGATTTAAAATAATTTGAAAATGATAGTAAAAATCACAGGGCCAGAAATAAATTACCCATTTTTTTCTGTCATGTCAGCTACCAGTATGTTGACCATTTTTCTTCTGGTTTCATCCACCAGGGACTTGGTCCGATTGTACTCATTTATTATACGTTCTCCACCAGGTTTGCTTGTGAGAATGGATTCCACCAACTGGAAAACACAATAAAAATATTCTACAGGTTGATATAACCACCGCAGTTCAGAACACTTAAACTACAAACAAAAAAGACACTATTAGAAGAATGTGGAAATCATTTAACTCTTACTTGCTTAGCTTCTGCATCCAGCTTCTGACGTTTCCTCAAAGGGCTGTCTGAAAGGATGACCATATCCTGTGAATCTGATGAATGTGGCGATGATAACTGGAACCGCTCAGGAGACACTTCTGCAACAGATGTTTCCAGACCTTAAAAATAGGAGCAAAAACAAATCAGTTTACATCGTCCCTCCATAGACTCATTTTATACACTCTTTGATTAAACGATGTAATAATGACACTAAAAAAAGACATCCAATGAAACACAAATCACTCAAACAAACCTGTTTCATATTTGATGGTTAGTACCCCGGTTGAGGGATCTGTTACTATATCCTCAAAAACATCCTCATCCAACTCAGTCCCTGAACTATCAAAAACTTTCACTCCTTCTGTTACGGCTGGCGCACCAAACTTTGCAAATGCTGGAAACAAGCACACAAGTTTGTGTAAACAAAAAGACATGACATTTAATGTTTTGTAGCTTAAAATGAAGATCATTTCAAGATACTCTTTCAAAAATGAGTCAGATAAACAAAGGCTAAATTATTAAGCGCCACTAACATGCTTGATAAGTGGTAGATTAAAAGGAGTGACACTCACATTATGCAGTTTTCCCCCCACTAAATATACATTCATAACTAAGATGCTTCCAAAACACAGATCATTTTCAATTAATCATAAAATGCAGTTTGAAGAGACTAAATAACAAAAAGAACTTAAAGCCCCTTGTACACCTTTTTAATACAATGTTGGTTTCTTACCGGCAATCAAAAACTCCTTAAGGCTTGGCTCAGATACTCTAACGAATTTCTGCACACCTCCGAGTTTTGCTTTAAGCAGCATGCTTCCTGTAGACCGTAATTTCTTATAGTCAGTGCTCTTCATTGAACTACAGTAAACAGAAAATGTGAATATTAAAACAGTCCCATAAATCAGAATCAGAATCAGAAAGGGGTTTATTGCCAAATGTTGAGCAGGTTTACAACATTAGGAAATTGCTGCGGTGCTTCAGTGCAAACATGCTGTCATAAATAGCACTTAAATAGACATGAAAAAATAAAAGTAGGAATAAGAATTAAAAGTGCTACGTAGAAAGATATATACATGAGTGCAGGTGGTGATCAGTGCCAATCATGGAATGATGCAGTGACACAGCGTAGGGTCATGTGTTAGTGGCGGGGACAGTCATATGGTTATTGTTCATGTGTCCAACAGCAGAGGGGAAGAAACTGTTCTTATGGCGAGAGGTTCTGGTGCGAATGGACCGGAGCCTCCTGCCTGAGGGGAGCAGGTCAAACAGACTGTGTCCGGGGTGAGAAGGGTCAGCTGAGATCCGGGCTGCACGCCCCAGTGTCCTGGAGGTGTACAGGTCCTGCAAAGATGGGAGTCTGCAGCCAATCACCTTCTCAGCAGAGCGCACAACACGCTGCAGTCTCTGTTTGTCCCTGATAGTGGCTCCAGCGTACCACACGGTGATGGAGGAGGTGAGGATGGACTCGATGATTGCAGTGTAGAACTGCATCATCGTCCGTGTTGGCAGGTTGAATTTCTTCAGCTGCCTCAGGAAGTACATCCTCTGCTGGGCTTTCTTGATGACGGAGGTGATGGTGGGCTCCCACTTCAGGTCCTGGGTGATGGTGATACCCAGGAAGCGGAATGAGTCCACAGAGGTGATGGGGGTGTCAGTCAGGATGATGGGGGGGGAGTGGAGCTGTGTGCTTCCTGAAGTCCACAATAATCTCCACTGTCTTCTGGGCATTCAGCACCAGGTTGTTGTGGCTGCACCAGGACACCAGACGTTCAACCTCCCTCCTGTAGGCAGACTCATCCCCGTCCGAGATGAGCCCAATAACGGTGGTGTCATCTGCAAACTTGATTAGCTTGACAGACTGGTGGGTGGAGGTGCAGCAGTTGGTGTACAGGGAGAAGAGCAGAGGAGAAAGAACACAGCCCTGAGGGGAGCCGGTGCTGATGGTCCGGGAGTCCGAGACATTCTTCATGCTACATGCTGCTTCCTGTCCGTCAGGAAGTCAGTGATCCACCGGCAGATGGGATCATGCACATTCATCTGGGAAAGCTTGCCTCGGAGATGGTCTGGAAGGATGGTGTTGAAGGCAGAGCTGAAGTCCACAAACAGGATCCTGGCGTAGGTTCCTGGGGAGTCCAGATGCTGCAGGATGAAGTGTAGGGCCATGTTGATGGCGTCGTCTACAGACCTGTTGGCTCTATATGCAAACTGCAGGGGGTCCAGGAGGGGGGCCGTGAGGGTCTTGAGATGGGAGAGAACTAGGCGCTCAAATGACTTCATGACCACAGATGTCAGAGTCACGGGTCTGTAGTCATTTAGTCCAGTGATCCTAGGTTTCTTGGGGACAGGGATTATGGTAGAGGACTTGAAGCAGGCAGGCACATGACATGCCTGCAGTGAGGAGTTGAAAATGCCAGAAAACACTGGGGCCAGCTCGTTTGCACAGTGTCTGAGGGTGGCAGGAGACACGCCGTCTGGGCCGGGAGCTTTCCGAGCATTCAGGTTCTTAAACTGCTTCCTCACATCTGCTTCATGAATATGAAGAGTTGTGGTGGGAGGAGGTGGTGTGAAATCCTCTTTTGTGTGGGGTGAGGAGGGGGGTGTTGTAGGTGAACAGTTTGAAGGTGGTGATGGCTCTATGGAGGGGGGAGAGGTGGGGGAATTAGTGTCCAAAGTGCCTCTATTGTTGGGCCGTTGGAGGTGTGAAGGCTGCCTGATGGCTCGTCAAAACGGCAGTAGAAGTCGTTAAGGGTGTTGGCCAAGAGCAAGTCATCAGTGGAGTGGGGGGTTTTAGGCTTGTAGTTGGTGATATTCCTAAAACCTTTCCACACAGAGGCCGAGTCATTCTCTGAGATCTGCTGCTGCATCTTCTCAGAGTGCTGGTGTTTAGCAATGTCCACTTCTTTAGTGAACCTGTACTTGGCCTCTCTGTAGCAGTCCCTGTCTCCGCTTCTGAACGCCTTTCTCTTTTCCAGCCACAGCTTTTTGAGTTTAGGAGTAAACCAGGGTTTGTCATTGTTATAACTCACCCTGGTGCGTGATGGCACAATGCTGTCCTCACAGAAGTGGATATAGGAGGTGACAGTGTCCGTAAACTCGTCCAAGCTGTTAGAAGCAGCCTTCAATGTGTCCCAGTCTGTGGTCTCCAAACACGTGCGAAGCTCCTCCACAGCCTCGTTGCTCCACAGTTTTTTAGTCCTCACGACAGGTTTGGAGAGCTTCAGCCTCTGTCTGTACGCGGGGATTAGGTGGATCATGACGTGGTCAGAAAGTCCGAGTGAAGCGCGGGGCACCGCGCGATAGGCCCCGCTGATCGTGCTGTAACAGTGGTCTAATGTCCTCTTGGCTAAACAAGGCTAAACAGCCTTGCAATGTGATTTCTTACACTATATGTTACTTTTATGTCAGTGTAACAAGGTGTCAAGATATAATCCTTAATACAAAACTAAAATAATAACTACTACTTTTTACCATTTGTCTGACCTAACTTAGCACTAGGGAGTCAGTATTTTGTTCATCTTTAGTTTAACATACTGAACAGTCTGGTAACCAAAATGGAAAAAGCAGCAGGGTAACTTTTGTCAATACCATCAACTCACAATAAATACAAACGCTGTCATCTTAAATTCAAACTACTAAAAAAAAGCATTAAAAACTGAATCCTGGACATTTTGGATATTTTATCAAGCTTATAACACCTGCTGACAGTTACTGGTTGTAATCCTGTAACCGTAAAATCGCTGAAGACAGCCGAGTTAAAATAAGACAATAACCTTACTGAAAACGACCTCTATATCTGGTACCTAGGTATCAAAAAAAAGAAAAAAAGAAAGATGTAACATTTAGTGTAAAATTTTAATTAGTTAATGCTTGAGTTAGGTAATTTAAAATTTAACGATAACTAGCGAATTGCCCGCGCACTGAGGTTAGCCAAAATGCTAGTTAGCTAGCTAATGTTAATATGTAGATCCCAACACATGGAGGGTTTCATTTAATGGAATTTCGAACATGCTAGAACACAACACAATCACCACTACACACTGAAATAAATTTTGATAACAAGCCTTACAGTCCAACACGGATATCAGTCAACTTTTTTAGCTAATTAACAACCTTACATTAGCATACAGACAGTGTCACATTTGCTTCTGGTACAAAATGAAATATATAATAAACATGGACAAAAGGAATGTAACCTTATTTTAACGTGCTACCTGTGCTTAAAATGTCGAATTGTTGGTTTAATAAGTAAATATGAACAACTTACCCTGCAACTGATGTGAAGAAAATGGCGTCGTGAAAAATCCTCTTGGTTTGAAAACCAGTCTGTGGTGGGAGGAGCTTTCTAGAGTAACGTTGACACTGCCTCTTTTAACTCCAGGAATCATCACCCACACTGGGGGGCGTTTTGCTCCAGCTGTTGTTATAATGACTCTATTAGAGTAAATACACTTTAACACTGCTGATTTAACACTGGGAAATTTACTGTGTATAAAGGGTAGTGAACCATGAACAACACAAGATAGTCTTAGTTTTAATTATTCTCTTAACTTTATGTAAAGCTTTGTGTTTTATATTGACACAATTACACACACACACACACACACACACACACACACACACACAGGTACTGTACAGCAAAAATGTTAAAACATGTGCTTTAAGTGAATAGTCCTAAATAAATGCTGTTAATCTGGAAACAGTATCTTAACTTGAAACTTATTTAGATCAGCTGGAATCAAAAGACTGAGCACTGGCATGTCTATCAAAACTTGAGGATTTTACTGGGATGGGGTCCAGAAGGCCCTCGGGTCATCTGAAATTTACTTTAACACGTGGTATAAATTATACATGTATGTAAACTCTTGTAAACTACAGACATCAGACTGTCTCCTCTATCCCCACATTTTTATATGTATTTTGTATACTCGTACTGTACTTTGTCTACTCTATGTAGAAAAAATTGCTTGGTCACGTTAAAACTTTTGCTGAGTCACATTGTATTTATTTTTCCTTTTGCTTTAAATCTAGACTGCCAGCCAAGATATTTGATGGACTGCTGACCTGGCTTTTGCACAAGCAGAAGGTGTACTGGCATCACTGGCTATCACTGAGGAAGAGAAGAAACAGATTGAGGAAGCAACAGATGGGGAAATAAAGAATGCATTGTGGTAAGAATGTGCCTTGATATTAATTCTGTTAGGTGCTAAGTAAGAAATTTAATGAACTATGCCTCTTAATTTGTGTTTTTATAAAAGGTCAGCACTAAAAAGAATCACAGCCAGCAACTCTGGTTTGTTCTTGGGTGCAGTCAAGCAGAGCTCATGTCCTCCTTCCTTGTTTAGGACTCTACTTGGCCAACCTGACAGGATTGAAAGTAAGTTAGTATAAAAGGGGTCTGTGCTTCTATGAAATTATGGCTAAGAGATATTTTCATCCCCAAAGGCAAGTGACTGGGGGATCCTTCATGAGTCAAAGGCCAAGCTGTTGTACATTGACTGTGTCACAGGGTGGAATGAACAAGTTTAACTTGGTGTTTTTTATTTCCTTGCATGTAGTGCTGTGTTTTATTTTTTGATCTTTTATTAGCGTGTAGTGTTTTATTTTTGAGGGGTTATTGCATGCTTGTTTGTGTTTGATATGTGATTTGTTCCGGGGGGGATGCCCATTGCACCGCCCCTCCTGATCATTAACTTGACACACCTGGGACCAATCAGGGTTCGCCACAGTTATTCAATAAGAGGCAGAGAGAGCGAGGGACAGGAGGAGAGACATGGCGTAGTAACCGGGGTTGGCAACAGAGGCGTGCGGCAAAGGAG